AGAGCGTCAAGCACCTTCCCCATCCTCAGCGTGGGGCTGCTTTTCTTCGGGGGCCTGTGCGTGGCAGCCAGCGAGTTCTACAAGAGCAAACACAACGTCATCCTCAGCGCCGGCATCTTCTTCGTCTCTGCAGGTAGGAGCTGCCCGGCGGGGTTGGGTGTGGGAGGACACGGAGGGGGCCACAGCCAGGTTGTGGGTCCTCCTGGGAGGGGGGATTCTGGGGTTTGTCACTTTTCCTGTCCTGGTGGAAAAATGCTCACGGCAGGGAAAATCCCAGCAGAGGTTTCTGGTGAGCGGTCACGGGGCTTTCAGCACTTCCAGCATCCACCTTGCTCTGCCCCCGAGCTGGCTCCGTGCGAGCACTGCAGACCAGGAGGGGCTCCTGGAGCACATTTTGGGGGGCTCTGCCCCCGTCACAGCCAAACAATGGGGTGGGTGCTGAACTGGAAGCAGCCGGGCCCAGGCAGCAGCAGAGGGGCTGCTGCAGTCCTGCCAGGAAAACCGCTCTCTCTGGAAAAGGCCGTTCCCTCTGGATTACTCATTTCTCTGTGCACCGTTCCCCTGATTATCCTGTGACAATGTCTTTGTCTCAAGGAACTGCTTTATTCTGTGTTCTTCTCCCCACAAAGAGACAAATGAATCCCCCTCCTTCAGCTCGCAGGAGCTGCTGATGCAGATGAGAAAACAACAGAAAGCACGTAACCGATTCATTAAGTAAATCCAGGAATACATCAGCTGCTCCCCAGCCCTGCCCAGATCCCAAACGAAGCCTCTGGGTCCCACCAGAAATGAAAAGAGACGGAGCCATTCCCACTTCCCTGCACTCCCAGGGCCACGGCGAGCCGGGGATCATGCCGGAGGGATCCCCTCTGTGCCCCGTGGGTCAGCTCTGTCCCTTGCTCAGCGAGCAGCTCTGCAAAGTTCAACCAGCTCTTAAATTGTCCCTTTACTAAACAAAATAGTGGTTGTTCCTCCTGCCCCTCCACAATATGCAAATGTACCTGTGCACTGCGTGTGTGTGACTGTAGATCCATGGCTGGGACGGCAGCAGAGCTCTGTGAGGGGGTTTGGCCCCGGTGTGCTGGCACGGGGATGCGGCCGTGACTGCCGGCACCCTCCCCACCTCCCGGGCACCCTGCGGGTGGGCAGGAGATGGGCTGGGGTCCTCTAGCCGTCGGGAGGGGATGGGGGTGCTGCCATCCCCGTCCTGTCCCTGTGCTGCGGCTCGAGCGAGCGCTTCTCCCTCTCGCCCTCCCCTGAAGGTCTCAGCAACATCATCGGGATCATAGTCTACATCTCGGCCAACGCGGGGGACCCGGGGCAGAGCGACTCCAAGAAGAGCTACTCCTACGGCTGGTCCTTCTACTTCGGAGCCCTGTCCTTCATCATCGCCGAGATGGTGGGGGTGATCGCCGTGCACATGTACATCGAGAAGCACCGCCAGATCCGCGCCAAGTCCCACTCGGAGCTGCTGAAGAAGACGGCCTTCACCCGCCTGCCCCCCTACAGGTACCGCGCCGGCGGTCCAGCTCCCGCTCCACGGAGCCCCGGTCCCGGGACATGTCGCCCGTCAGCAAGGGCTTCAGCACCATCCCCTCCACCGACATCTCCATGTTCACCCTCTCCAGGGATCCCTCCAAGGTCACCATAGGGACGCTGCTCAACTCGGAGCGGGACCACGGTTTTTTACAGGTCCACAACTCCATCCCCAAAGAGTTCAAGGAGTCTTTGCACAACAACCCGGCCAACAGACGAACCACGCCGGTCTGAGGCGGGCAGGGGCGTTCTGTCAGGCTGCATGACATCATCCTCGTGACGGTGTAACCCGTGAAACCCCGTTTTAAAGGACTAAACCCAGACGGCTCCCCGTGCCCTGCCTCGCTTACCTGTGGGGCTGGTTTTTCGCTCCCGAAATGCCACTGGCCGGGCCG